GAAGCTAGTTCTATAAAAGTTGTCAGTTCACTAGAAAAAGTTGTTTAAGTTCATAATATTCAGATTTGCATATTAATGTTCAAGTCAGCCTTGTAACTGCCTTTGTTACCCTAGTCAATTGAGTATTGAGATGTCTGATCCCTCTATTGCATAATCTGTAACTTGTATAATAAAATTCTGTAACGTGTTGTCTGCCCTATCTAAGTTTCAGTCTTATGCTAGTGCTATCGAATATAAGCATTCTTTTGACCTTATTTCATTAATTTTGAAATCTCATTCTTACATTTCTCCGATTGAGGATTCTTTTTGGAAAATGATGATTTCATACTGTTTTTCTGATCTTTTATCAGACAGGTTGCTGCTTCAGACACGATGATATTGTTATTAAGCAACTTTCTTCTGTATGTAGGTTTTATCTCAAGCGAACAAACGAGTATGCTTAGATTTTGTGAAACATGGAGTGTTTCAACAGGCAATGTGGCACTGGTACAAAAATGTGTTTACCCTTGAGAGTTGGGTAAAATCTGGAAGGGAGTACTGTAAACTCACTTCAGCCTTGATGGTCGAACAGTTACGCTTGTGGAGGGTCTTTATCCAATATGGATTCTGCATTACATACTTTGTAGATTTTTTCCCTGCTATGTGTTTATGGCTTAACCCTCCTACATTTACCAAGATAATTGGAAATGACATTTTGGGTGAATTCACTTCCATTACAAGGGAAGCATACCTAGTTCTGGAGGCCTTAGCTCAAAGGCTACCTAATCTTCATTCTATGGATCAGGTAAATAAACAAACTATTGATTTTTCTATCTATGCGGCAGAATTTTGGTCTTGGAACCATGTTTCTCCAATGATTGACCTGGCTATAAGTTGGTTATCATTAAGAGATATACCTTATATATCTTCACTTATTGCTGACCCGAAGAAGAGCATGAGCCATGTTGAAGTTGCACCTATGGCTTCTTTGTTATGGGTTATTTCAGCAGTTCTTCATATGCTTTGTAGTATACTTGATAGGGCATTTGCCTTCCCATGCACCCATAAAAATGTGGATAAACAAAATTCTTCTCTGCCATGGTTGCGCCATTTTGTTCTCAAGATAGGCCTTCAAATTATAAAGAATGGATTTCTGGATATCTTGTGTTCAAGCAAATATGAGTTTGAAGATTTTTATACTGAAAATGGATCTCTTGCAAGAGTCCTTTGCTTATTGAGGCAACAGAAGAATGTTGATGTATCATTATCTTCAGTAAGTTGTCTTCGAGGATTAGTCCAGATTTCTCAACTAGTTGATGAGCATGTTCGGAGAGCCAAAACTATAAACAATGGTCAGTCATTCACAGAGGGTATGTTGGGATTACCTGAAAAGACACTAGAAGAAGGTATCATTAGGTCTGCTCAAAATGATCTTTTGCAAGTTCTCACTCTCTTTATAGATGTTCTGTCCTCAGAAAAGCAAGTTCTGCAGTCTGTTGAGATGTTTGGTAGGGGTGGACCTGCACCTGGAATTGGATTTGGCTGGGGTTCTTGTGGTGGAGGATTTTGGTCCTTGAATGTGCTGCTGGCACAAATAGATTCACAACTGATTTTGAGTTTGTATAATATCATCCCTGTTGTGTCTGAGAATGATCCAATTCAAGTCGAATCTATTAGACCTGATAATGCCATTACTCTGCAGAGAATAAATTCCATGCTTGAGATATGTTTGCTTGCAGGACCTGGGGATGAAGCCACCTTAGATAAGGCATTGGATTATTTGTTCCATCTTCCCGTGCTGAGGTATCTTGGTTTTTGTGTGAATCATTTCCTTCATCATATGAAGTTTTCCAATGCATCTGACTGGCAGTATGGTGAAGAGGATTATATTTTTTTCAGTGAGATTTTGAAACTCTATTATAGAGAAAGGTGGTTAACTGCCAAGAGGAAGACTGCCACTCAAGTGCATAATGATGACATACATAAGAGGAGTCATGCTTTGGAAACAATTCATGAGGAAATAGAACCACATGCTGCAGTTTCCAGAGATCATTCTAGCAATGGTTTGTTGGTAGAGTGGGCATACCAGAGATTGCCATTACCTATGCATTGGTTTCTCAGTGCTGTGTGTATCATGGGTGATTTAAAGAAAATGGCCACATGCTCACCTGCTGATGTTGCAAAAAGTGGATTGTTTTTTCTTCTAGGTCTGGAAGTCATGTCCTCTTTTCTGTGCTCTACATCCAGAGATTCTCTGATATCTGGCATTCCCTTGGTCTGGAAATTACATGCTTTATCTATGGCTTTGCATGTAAATATGGATGTGCTTGGGGAAGAGAGAAGTGGGAATGTTTTTAAAACTTTGCAAGATATGTATGGTCAGCACATTGATCAACTAAAATGTGGAAATATGACGAGCAAAGATGAAGAATATAGAGACTTTGTAGCTTCCTCATCTGAAGCTCAAGTGAGTGGCAGCCAGGAAGTTCTTAATTTTCAGACAACAATTCATGAAAGCTACAATACATTTGTTGAGGATATCGTTGAGCAGTTTTGTGCAATGTCATATGGTGACATAATCTATGGTCGGCAAGTAGCAGTTTATCTACATCGAACTGTTGAAGCCAGTGTCAGGCTTGCCATGTGGAATGCACTATTTAATATCCATGCACTTGAACTCTTACCTCCAATAGGAAAATGCATAGCTGGTGCCGAAGGTTACCTGGAACCTGTTGAGGTACTCTCTCGAACTATCAGTTTTTTGAAAGTAATGATTTACTACATGGTTGATTAATTTCTCCTGTACTGTGATCTGACTAATTGGATCTGTAAGTTCCTGTTTATAAATCATCATTGCTGAGGGGCTTCTTGTCCTGAACTAATCGATTTGTCTGTCCATTTTGTGGCCAACGCGTTCGTTGAAAATTTGACATTCTGAACCATTTGCAACTGAGCCTCAGCCATCTGAAGATATTTCCTACATATTCTTGTGCTGGATCGATGCAGGCTAACATGCCATCTCTTTTTGCCTTTTCTAGCATGTAGTAACTGACATCCAAATACAATTTACAGGACAAAGAAGAGATTTTGGAGGCATATGCAAAGTCATGGACCTCCGGATGCCTGGAAAAAGCTTCCACTAGAGAATCTGTTAGCTTCACGCTGGCAGTGCATCACCTCTCTTGTTTCATTTTCAACACGAGTGCATCTGAGAAGCTAGCTATGCGAAATAAGTTAGCAAAATCTCTTTTAAGAAGCTATTCACTAAAGCCACATCAGGAGGTAAGTAAATGTTGTGTATCGGGTATCGTGAGACATACCATATCAATGCTGGGTCTGGGTCTCTATAACTGATCTAATTTTCATCTTTACAGACCATGCTGTTGACTCTCCTTCGATATGGATTAATGTTTTCGCAAGAGCCAACTTACAAAACTGAAGTTGCCAGGAGATTGGTAGTGCTGAAGGAAGCTTGCGACGGAAACTCTTCTCTCTTGGTGATGGTGGAGAAGCTGGAGTCCTTGGGTTAGATTATAAAGATCAAAGTCCTGACTCATTTCGAGTACCATTGTGCCACCGTTAGTGGTTGCTGGATGAAGTTTTGTTTCTGCAATCATTGTCCTCTGGCCAACGACTGCCTGCGACAATTGCTCATGGTTGTTCCATCGATGTTTGCAAGCTACTACCCTGTACAATGATTTACACTACCTTAACATATATGTACCTTAAAATTGTGTATCTTTCGGGTTAAAGAAATTTTCACAAAAGATGTACAGATAGGTTGCAGAAGAGCTGTTTGTTCAGTGGTCCGGAACATTTTTGTAACAAAATTATCAAATGGTACTGAAATTACAGTACCAGAATATGAAAAGATATCTTGTGCAGATAGGTTAGATTGACACTCCGCATCCAAATGCATTGGTTTATTTGCTCCATCAGAAGAATGCCTGTGGCTGTAACATCAATCGATAGCTTTTCTTCTCACCATTGCAATCAGGTTGAAATGGGAACAAAATCTTTTCGTCCGTTATCTTTTTTCATAGTATCAATTAATTTTGCCTTTTGACTTTCGATCATGCTTTAAATGGACAGACCTGGGAGCAAGAATCACTTATTCGGCGGCTGATGCTTGCCATGTGGAGACATAGGACCGAGACCAACGCCGATCACGTGAGCAACGTGTTGCCGACAGCAGCCAAACACGTGGGAAACAGGGGGAGGGAGGAAAAGCGACAGAAAGAGCCATCGGGCAAGTCGTTTTTTGGGATTTAGTTTAGTGATATTGTTAATTATGATGTCATTATTTGTAAATGAAGTCCACAGAGACCGATCCTTTCTGATTTGGATCACCGGTCTGCCACGTCATCACCGCTCCGCAAGGAGCGTACGGTTTTGTACGGAGGAATTTATTGTTTGCCTGACGTGTGACTGCCTCTCTCATATTGGGGCCCGCATCGACGCGGTCGATCCTCCAATGACAAGGTAGCACTCTCTCGCGCCACACGAGTTTCACGAAGGGAGAAGCGTGTTCACCTGTACTTCGCACCCATTCATCCTACGACGGCTGCAGGGAGCGAACCAGATGCGGGACCCATACGTGGATCTATATTTCCATGGAATCATGACGCGGGTACACAGCGGGAACGGTTAGACTTTTGCTACACTTCGGCAGCGTCCGGCTTTCTCTGTCCTCGGCTTCCTTTCGGTCTAAGAACTCGCCGTTGAAACCACGACCAAACGCTGCGCCGGTCCCTGTCAACGAACTCTCATCCTCGTGTGCAGCCGTCCACGCGGGGGCCTCGCCGCCAACGGACGGCCGGATTTTTGGCCACGTGGGGATCTGAAGGCGGAGGGAAACTGGACCAGTCCACGTACCCGCGTGAGCGAACCGCGGGGACTCCCCTTCTCCTTCCCCGAACCAGGTGAACGGGACGACCCAACCGCGTGCACGCGCCACGCCCGAGCGCCCTCTCTCTCACTGTCTCGCTCTCGCTCGCCGCAACTATATACTGAATGCTTCCTCGCTGTCGAAGCCTCTCATTCCCGAGGCTCATCACCAGCTTACCGGCGCTGGAAGACTCATTCATGACCGCTCATCGAAAGCCCTCCGCCGCTGCCGCCCCCCCGTTAGACGACGACCTCTTCTCCTATTACTTCTCCTTCTTCAACGACGGTGCCGCCCCCTCGGCCATGGACCCCAACCCCGGGAAGCGCCCTCGGGCGGATGACCCCTCGTCGAGCCGGCGGCACGTCTTTTCGAAGCCCTCCGAGTCCTCCTCTCCCTCGCCGTCGTCCGCTGACGAGGAGGACGAGGCGCTACAGAGGCCGGAGCTGCTGCCGCCGCAGCCCCAGCAGCAGCAGCGCCGGGTATGGGTCAGGGACCGGTCCAGCGACTGGTGGGACCGGTACATCGACCCGGAGCTCCCGGACATTGAGTTCCGGCGCGCCTTCCGGATGTCTCGCGCCACCTTTGACTTCCTCTGTGACGAGCTCGGCTCCGCCGTGGCCAAGGAGGACACCGCGCTCCGCGCCGCTATCCCCGTGCGGCAGCGCGTGGCTGTATGCGTGTGGCGCCTCGCCACCGGCGAGCCCCTCCGGCTCGTCTCCCGGCGCTTCGGCCTCGGAATCTCCACCTGCCACAAGCTCGTGCTCGAGGTATGCGCCGCCATCCGGAACGTGCTGATGCCGCGGTCGCTCGCCTGGCCCGACTCGGCCGGAGCAGCCGCCGCCGCTGCCCGCTTCGAGGCCCTCTCCGGAATCCCCAACGTGGTCGGCGCCATGTACACCACCCATATCCCCGTCATTGCCCCCAGAGTCAGCGTCGCCGCCTACTTCAACCGCCGCCACACCGAGCGCAACCAGAAGAGCTCCTACACCGTCACCCTCCAAGGCGTCGTCGACCCCGACGGCGTCTTCACCGACGTCTGCATCGGTTGGCCCGGGTCGATGCCCGACGACCAGGTCCTCGAGAAGTCAGCACTCTACCAGCGCGCCAACAGCGGCCTCCTGAACAACCAATGGATCGTCGGCGGGACCGGCCACGCTCTGCTGGACTGGGTGCTCGTCCCCTACGCCCAGTCCAACCTGACGTGGGCGCAGCACGCCTTCAACGAGAAGGTCGGGGCGGTGCAGCGGGTGGCGAAGGATGCCTTCGCCAGGCTGAAGGGGAGGTGGGGATGCCTGCAGAAGAGGACTGAGGTGAAGCTGAAGGATCTCCCGGTGGTGCTGGGGGCCTGCTGCGTCCTCCACAACCTATGCGAGATGAGGAAGGAGGAGATGGAGCCGGAGCTACGGTTCGAGCTGCTGGACGACGAGATGGTAGCCGACAACGGCCTCCGCTCCTTCAGCGCCATTCACTTCAGGGATAGCATCGCCCACAACCTTTTCCACCATGGGCTCTCAGGAACGTCCTTCTTATAGGCTTCCAAGGACCGTAATGGCAATATATATATATATATATATATATATAGTGGAGGTGGATCCAAGTGTTTTCTCACGTTAAACACTGATAAGATCCATCATTTATTTGGTGCAAGCATTCTGATCCAATATAAATTATCCCTTCGAAACCTCGTGCTGGATTATTCGGGTTGCACGATCAATATAGCCAACCAAAACGTTGCACGAGAAAACCGACTGGCCATGCAACATTAGATTCACATCCCGGCCCGGCCCGGCCCGGCCCATTAAAGAGTCATTATCCACGACGCCTCTTCCGCTACCGTCTGCTCTGCCTACCGTTCGTTGACTTCCCGAAAACCTTAGGGTTCTCTTGGCCCCCTTCCGCATGGGAACCAAGCACACGACCCGGGGCCCCAACGCGAGGCGGCGGAGCGTCTTCGCCAGCCGAGCCTTCCCGCAGGGAAGCAGCCCAATCTTTCGAGACGCCTCTGGCCCGTCAGACTCCGGCTCCTGCCTTGACGAGGCGACGCCGGAGGCACTCGTCTGTCCGGAGATTCCGCCGGTCTCGAACGGGGCGGTCTCGTCGGAGTCCCCGACGGAGGGATCGGATGGGGTGGATGCATGTGGTGAGGTTGAGCGACCCATTCCGAAAGCGGCGGACTACCCAGCTGTACTTTGCAAAGATGGGCATTTGGAAAGCGCGGCTGTTTCGAAGGTCAAGAATTTGGATGGCGAATCAACTACGGAGGCCGAAAGCGAGTCGAAATCGCGTAACCTCAACACTCATGAAGCTACAGTTAAACCTGCCGCCATTATAGGTGAGACTGGAGAGAGAAATGTTACATCCGGGTCGGTGTCGGGCGAGACAGCGGATGCGGAGAGAAAGAAGCGATCTTTGTTGGAACAGCAGTCGCGATCCGGGAAGAAGGCCGGTGATAACCAAAAGAGAGAGCTTTCTGAGGATCGAGACCAAGATGCTTTCAACATCAAGAAACAAAACCATGGCGATGGCTCGTGCCAAGCTCCTGGCAAGATGGTGATTATTTTAGGTCTCATGGCTGCTCCGAACTGCCCATGGAGAAACGGAAGAAAGGCTCGCATTAGCAAGCCCTAATTCGTGCCGTGAACCAAAGCTAAGTTGGGAAGGGAAGCCATTGAATGGGTAACTGAAGCTTTTGCATCGGTTTTGTATTAGGTTGAATAGCATACGTGGTTGAGTTGAAATGTTTTGATTTGTCTTGTTATGATGTTCAATGTAATTGCATGATTGCCTTTCCGTTGTAAGCTTGATAGTTGTTTTTGGTGTAGTCTTGCCTCTTTTTGTTAAGAATTCCTGTTCCATGTTCTTAGCTTCCTTGGATCATGCTGAGCATCTCTTTTATATACTATCAGCTACGGTTTCACTTACATGACAAGGTGTTTGTATGTGGTGCTGGACTATTTTTCCTGCCTCTGTCTATTCATGATGTCTAAACTTTATATATCGATGGCATCCAATCTCATGTTCTGTCCTTTTTCCCAAATGACTAACCAGAACAACTTGGGGGTGATTGTTTCATTTTTTTTCTTTTTGGATATTAAAATGAATATCTTTTTGTTGGAAGATGCCCTTAGCCTAGCATAATTCATTATATTGTTGTCACTGATTTAGATGCTTGTGATCTAGCCATATCTTCTTTGGTTTTTTTACTGACTTTACCAATCAATTGCATTACAATTATATCGACCATAATTGCTGTCATCCGGTCGTGCCATTTAAAGACTATTATTTTTTAGTAAAAGTGATTGTTTTTCAGTTAATTAGCTTTTCTTTGCTCCACCATGTTTTCAAGCTTTGAAACTTGAATTATAGTATGGTTAAAGTGTTTTATGTTTGTCATTTTTCTTATTATTTCAACATTTCTTGTCATCAGAATATTGCGTAAACGTGATGAGATCTACTACTTCATGAACATTTTGTTCAGCACAGTTGCTGCGTATATGAGGTTTGAGAAATTATGTTTTACAATGTACAATGACATTACTTTCTTTGACAAATGCAACTGTGAACGACTTGAAAAAGTGCAGAAATGCTTGCTAGATATGGTTATGTTTCCAAAACTTCAAATTCAAAAATGTTAAAGTAGCTGTCCCATTACTAGGATGTGATTTTGGTAAATCATGTGGAACTGATAGATGTTTCTTCATATCTTTATATGTGGTTATTTGATGTTTGCCAGTTCATAAATGAGGAATTTTTATTTGGATCTCTTGATGACAATAGTTATCTGGAAGGACTTTTATGACTCGAAACAATTGAGTAGCTAATTAGCATGTTTTCTTTGCTGAATACATGTAACACGATAACGTTATTTGAGATTGCAGGTGCTCAACTTAAAGGATATTTTCTGCTGGTAAAGCTGCTTTACTACTCGAAGGCAGTAATCAAGGCTACTTGAATGTGCACTCTGATTAGGTCTGTTGACTTTGTTTTCTACTAATGCTTCATATGTCATCAGAGTATCCATCTTAGAGGGGTGTGTCATAAGACTTCACATTTCATCATTTTGGTTCATATTGTTTTCTGCAATTGTTGAGTTCACCTGCTCTGTCATATGTGGCTGGACACATGCCAGCATCACTTCTCAGTTGGTATTGTACATTCTAATCAAGTTGCATGATTCCTATAGTTTTAAGGATGCAATCAAGTTGGTATTGTACATTCTAATCAAGTTGCATGATACTTGTAGTTTTAATTTTGCTTCTCCAATGCATTGCATCTTTTGGAAAGAGAACAGCTATGGTAGAGGAATATGTACTAATAGATTTTTTTTCCTATTTCTTAAATTCCAGGTATTGTTTTTTGTTTAAATTTTCAAAATTTACTGATCATGACATAGATCAAAGCTTGGGTAGCAAAGATGCATTAGTCTTTTACTTGCCCTAAGTTTTGGAGGTCCTGATGAAACTTCTTTTGCTGAGTCTTGAGACTATACCAGTCCTCATTGGTGCATATTTTGAATGATACATATTAAATTCTAATATTTTGTCAAGATTATATGCAATATTTAGTTTTGTTCTATGATTTTCCTATAATGAGAAAATGATAAATTTGGAAATGTCTCCTGTGACCCAACTAGCAGTTGTTATGATTCCTTGCATGAACTATGAAACCATCCTCTTGGATTTGGACAGTGGAGGTAGATAGATGTGACTACCAAAGAACCATAATAATGAGCTGCATGCTTCTCATTAACCTCTTCTCAGATATGTGATAGTAGATTTGAGAACTGCAGTTGTCTCAATAACCTGATGGTGTGTGAACTGCATAAAATATTCTAACCATTGTCACTTTCTACCAAATGCTATGTTCTCAAAGATTATGTATAGTTACTCATCCATTTACTATGTTTATTTTATGGTTTATATTTTTTATTTCTAAAAAAGAGAATTTTTTTGAAACAGTTGTATATACTTTAACCATTATAATGATCAAATGAACTGTAAGATATGCTTGATGTGCTTATGCATAGACTTATAAATGTCCATAAACTAGATGTTTATTTGGTGATTTCTTTACAAAATGCTCACATTTTAGGTATTTTTCAAATTACTACTTTCTATTTTATTTTTTTCTCAAACTGAATTCTTAATTTTTTAAAAAAATTAAATTACTCTAAAAAAAATTTTCAACTTGTAAAGTGATTTGCCATGTTATAGTGTTTTAGTTATCACAATAAAAATGAATTTCTAAACTTAATCAAATTAATTATCAACATAAAAATATGATATTATAATAATCTATGAGCAATGATAATTAAAGAGATATAATATAATATTATTTATAATATTTTTAAATAACATTAATAGTATTCTTAGTACCTCAATAATACATTTAGATAAAATATTTGAAGATTGTTATCTTTTGAAAAATACCTAAAATATGAATATTTTTAAGAAAATAACATATGATGCGGATTCATGTACCTAACATTATTTATTCCAGCTTGTCTTATAGTTTTGACTCCTCTTCCTGTTTAGATATTGAAGTGTAAGATAGATCCAACTTGGCTTCACAATTGAACAAGTAACTTAGCTCATGTAGAACATGACTTCAATAAAATAATGATGGGTCATTAATGTTAGGTGGGTGGCAATATATCCTCTCAAAGTTTGGAAATAATTTATATAACATATATATATATATAACATTTCTCTAAATACTGGTTAGAGTTTAATATATGTTCAAACGTTTCTTAACAACTTAAATTTTAAATATTATAGTAATTTAATTCAAAAACGAAATTAGAACAGATTATCTCACTCCATATTTGATTCTTATATGTGCAATATTTACATTTTTGGATTTAGGTTGTCTCACTTAATTCAATACAAGTTATACATAAAAAAGGATAATAGAATTTAGGGTTAGGATCAATTTTAGTTCTTTTAATTTTGATCATAAAACTTTTAAGCTTTTATAGTTTACTCGTGTTTAAAATAATTTTTATATTTTCAAAAACATAACATATAGTTCTTGTGATTTTGGCTATGGACCTTTTAAATCTTTATGATTTACTCGTGTCTAAAATAACATCCATATTTTTAAAAACGAAGTATATAAGTTTCTTTCGTTAAGTTTAAGTTAACAAACATTAGACACCGCTTACGTGGCATACTAACTTATAATAAATCGTTAATATAGTGACATATGTAATTTAAGTTTAAAAAAAAAATGAGACATTCATCAATTGTAGGAGGAAACATCATCATGGAAGCAACCACCAGTAGCACCATCAAGTCGTTATTACCTAGCAACGCATCGTATGCACATAGCGTCTCCCACGTTGATGACGAGCTCAAGAGCTTCCGATGCCTTGTTAGGTAATAGCAACTAGGTGCTACTATTGATGGTCACTTTCATAATAATATCTCTTCACATCAGTAATGGAGGTCTCAGTTTTTTTAACTTAAATTATACGTATCATTATATTAATAATTTATTATGAATCAGCATGTCATGTAAAATGATTCTAACGTCTGTTAACTCAAATTTAACCGGAGGGGCTTATATACTAGGTTTTTAAAAATATAGGGATTATTTTAGATACGAGAAAACCATAATGGTTTAAAATGTCAATGGCCAAAATCATAGGATTAAAATGGATATTAATCCTAAATTATTTGCGTTATTATATTAATAATTTATTATGAGTATATTCCAAGTAAGTAAACTCTAACGTCTGTTAACTCAAATTTGATAGAAGGGGATTGTATGTTATATTTTTAAAAATATAAAGAATATTTTAGATACGAGTAAACCATAAAGGTTTAATAACTCCACGATCAAAATCATATTAGTTAAAATAGATCTTTTAACTCTAGAATTTAAGATTGATTTACGGTAACCAATTAAATATCTCATGAAAACCTGCACCTGTATTAATATTGCTAAGAGTTTTCAGTATCACTATGCCAACAATCAACTAATCCATTAATCATAATGATGTATATTTAGATTTTTAAGTTTTGTAAAAATATATATATATGCAAAACCTAAATTGAATAGGATACAAAAATACTATTTTATTTAACATAATAAAGCATGTCCCTTATCTATATAACCCAATCCAAGAGCAAGAAGATGATGTGGCATGGAACAAAAAGTTTGGCAACCAAAACAAAACAAGAACACACCCAAAGCTTGCCAAAAGACAAAGCAAGGCATTAAAGAAGCAGCTCCTAAAGCCAGCCCCCATTTTGTCTCACTGAGGACAAAATTGATACCATCAACATCCACAAGTAGACATTCATTATCCCGTTTTGTTTTCCCTCTCTGTTCTACCTCTCATGTGATTGGAGAGAGCCGTTTTCCTGTAACTGGGCTCCACCGAGAACTAGACAGGTGCGCGTCCCAAATGAGTATCACTCGAGTCTCAATGTTTCTTTGAAGATGGATGAGAACTAAGAGAGATGACCCAGCGGCGATCGCTACTTCTAATGTCGTGCGACTTCGGCTCTTCTTTCTTGGGCGACGCCTTCTCGCCATTGACGGAAGCCAAAGCAACGCAGCAGACTTCTGCTTCGGAGGCTAGTGAGCTCAAAACGGAGGACATGATGCAAAAAGAGTCGCCTTGCCTTCTTTCCCTCTCGTTTTGAGGGGAGCGGAAGCTGGTGTCTCTGCGGAAATTCCGTCTTGGAGCGCGGAGATGGATGTGGAGACGGATAAGGCGGCGGGGGATGGCGATCGGAGGAGTAGTCGGAGGATGGCGTTGGTGGTGAGAGGGAAGAGGGACGTGAAGCCTGTGCTCGTCAAGATCGCCATCGCCTTTGCTCTCTCCTTCTCCGGCTTCATCGCGTCCCAGCTCTGGCGCCGCCCCCGGCTTCCCATTCGTCCGCGATGCCCTCAATCCTCGTCCCCAGGTTCTTTGCGTTCGTCTGCGTTTTCGTCAAGATTTGATCTTTTTGGCTGTCTGATGCGAGAAATTGGAGAGCTATACAAAACCAATGATCAAAACTCGACTTTGACTGCATCAAGATTTCCCCCCTTTCTTAAACAGGTGGTGCAGAGCCGGAAAGTAGTGGGAAAAACAGTGGCGGTTGCCTCCAAGAGGAACTCCGCATCCTGAAGAGTGTAAGCTTTGGAAATCTTATAATTAATTACCGTCTTTCCTGGTTTGATTTGTGCTAATTTAGACTTTGTATTTAAAGGAAGAGGATTTGGGGGAGATAATCGATGGCATCTCCATGATTGGGCTGTCTCCTACCAGTTATAACTCGGGTGATGATGAGGGCTTCCTCTTGCATGAATTCAACGATTTTGTAATGCAAGAATTTGAGGTGAAAAGTAAAGAACTGGAAACCGCCCTAAATATCACGGTGCCCGAGAAGCCTGATACCACGGAAGAGATCATGATGGAGCAAGAGATCGCAAGTCTCAGGGAGTTGGTTTTGTCCCTAAGGGAGAAGGAAAGGAGTCTTGAGCTTCGGTTGCTAGATTATCAAGGTGTGAAAGAGCAAGAAGCTGCTGTGGGGGAGCTTGAGAATAGATTGAAGATTAGTGCAATGGAGGCTAAGTTGTACATTTTAAAGATAGACTCTCTGCAGGCTGACAATCAGAGGCTAAAATCTCAGCTGTCAGATTATTCAAGAGTAATTAGTGAACTTGATTGTTCAAGAGAGAAGATTAAACATTTGAAGAAGAAGATGGAATCGGATAGGGATGAGGCAAAAGACATAATAGCCTCTCTTCACCAGAGTATCAATTCATTGCAGCATAGGGAGCAAAAGGATGTGAAAACTGATGCAGAGATTAAAAGGAAGTTGAAGAGGTTGGAGGAGTTGGAAGATGAGTGCATAGAGCTCAGAACAATCAATTCAATGTTGGTAAATGAGAATTCATGTTTGTCAAGGGAGTTGGAAACTGCAAAAATGATTTCGTCTTCAGTTCATGAGGATGCAAAGGTTCGTAGTGGTTCTTTTTCTGTTGGATTAGGCTGCTGGAAAATAGTTGCTTACTTTGCTTTGTCAAACCCACTAATTGTTCATATCATTTGTGATGATAGCTTCTTGATATACAAAAGGAACATATTTACATATTTCTTTTCTTCTTCTATGGCTAAATGGTTGTATATTTTTATGTAGCTTGATTGTTCATATTTACTAATTGTTCATATCATTTGTGTGTGCTCTCAATTTGTCCTGTCTTCCTTCTCCTATTGACCTGTCCAAATCTTTCATATGTTGCTATGGTTTGAGCATCTCCAAATATCACCATGTTGATGTGTGCTATGATAGTTTTGCTCCCTGTTATTTGGTTGAAGTTTGTGTCGATAGCTTAAATCATTTGCAACATGCCTGCAGATGGAAGGGTTAGAGGAAGCCAACCACTTGAGGAAGGTGAATGACAAATTGATGGAGGACATCGAACAACTTCAAACTGATAGGTGTACTGATGTTGAGGAGCTGGTGTATCTTAGATGGGTAAATGCTTGCTTGAGATACGAGCTGAGGAACTACCAGCCACCTCTGGGAAAAACAGTCGCAAGAGATCTTAGCAAATGCTTGAGTCCCAAATCTGAAGAAAAGGCCAAACAACTCATACTGGAGTATGCCAATTTGGGTGCTGATGAGAAAAGTTTAAATATTTTTGAAGTTGATTCAGAGTGTTCTTCTTCCTCACAAGCTTCTGCCGGAGAACCTGAAGATACACCAACCGATGCCTCATCGGCAATAACACATAGTAGTTCAAATAAACTAAAGTTGCTAAGCAAGCTTAAGAAGCTAGTGTTAGGAAACGGAAACCGGGGAAAGAGAGCTTCAGCAGCAGATAGAACTCCAAGTTCTGTAAATTCTGATACAAGAGCATCTGCCTCTATCTGTTCTATTGATGATGCAATTGCTAGAGATTCATATGATAGCTCACCATCACGCATGATAGAGGATGTTGCTGCGGCAAATCTGTTGGCAGGAACGGAAGCACAAGCAGTCGAAGGGCAACATAATAAAAATGTTTTCTCTCAAATCAATTCCAGGCACTCTTTGGACATCCAGAGGTTGCAGAGGCTTGATCTGGAAGAAGCAAGAGAGGAAGAAGGTATACTTCATAGGAGAAATTCTGGAACATGTTGTAGGTATAAGAAAATATCACTTTTAGAGGATACATTGAGCAATTACAGCCAGAATAATATGATTGGCAAAGAAGGTACTTATATTCCTGAGAAAGCTGACTTGAAAAAGTTTGCAGATGCTTTGAGAAGTTCAAGAGGGATATCCAAATTAGATGGGAGATCAGCATCTTCTAGATATTGATGCCTATATATTGCATGAAGCAATATTAGTTTCGCCATACGCAACCCAGATTTGTAGATGTAAATTTTCTGTCAAAACTAGAAGGTTACTAGCAGTTTAGATGCTTGTTTCTTGCCCAAAAAATATCCAAACCCTGAATACAAATGTGGTAAAATTTGTACAGCTCATTTGAATATGAAAGCTGAGGTTTCTAAATTCTTGCATCCTATCTTTGATATATGTTTACAAGTTTTCTGCATTTTGTGTTTTTATTGTCAATATGTTGATCCTTAATTGGGCTTTCTGCTTTATAATTTGTGGCACTAAGGGATGCAATTCCATGCTTCAGTCTTTTTCATCCACACCGACCTTTGAAAGTTTATATATGGTCTTGATATCAGTTAGATGAGTGCTAAGGGTACTTAGATATCATTTGTTTGTAAAAATCTTGAATTCATTTTTTTCAGTTTCTCAATCGGTATATCATATATATAATTTAGATGCATCAGATGTCATTCAGAAGCAGCAGAAATGTTCTGGTTTTGAGACTTGTTTGTGCAACCTGACTTACTCTGATTGCTAAGACAGTTATTTCACTCATGTGTTCCTGTAGATTGATGCCAAACTAAGAGATTTAATAACTAAGACATGATTCCTTCCCTAGTTTTAGTATTATACTGATAAACTGCTTCAAAAGTTATCCTGTATCTATCAGTTCCGGCAGAAGAAACTTTTTTCTCTTTGTATATTATGTGGATTTCTTCATGCTTTGAGTTGATCCCTGAACATGCGACCAATAACTGTTGATGCATTTTGATTGTTTCTTGTGCTAGAGATATGTCGGGATGCTACTGCCTTCATATAAGAAACTTATGATCTTTTTCTGTAGCACACAAAAAGCAGTTCTGATTTCACACAGATTGCCCCAAGAAGTTGTACAGAGAATACAATCAACGGAGGTGATATCCTTCCTTGCACAGTTATTCAGGTGCTTTCCTTCACATACTTGATCTATATTCTATAACAACATGTTGTGATCTAGAAACATACCAGAATCTGTGCTTGCTTCATTTCTGGAACGATACTTTTGCCAAGTGCCAAGTAATTTAGGGTTCCCTAAGTGTCCTTTCAATTTACTGTAAAGACACTTATATGTGGACCTTGCTTGTGGACTTAAAAGATTCTCGCATTAAAGATAATGCTTCAAACTTTCAAGAAGGCTCATTCATTTACCGTCTTAAAGTTAGAAACAATTGTGATATTAGGTCACTGTAATGTCACCTTTTCTTTCGGAAACATCAGTATTTTTTGGTTGTTAGCAAGTTTTTTATTTTGATTTATTTGATTTTATGACATTAGAGGCACTTGTAAATTAGGTAGCTGCCATATGCTGCTACCTAATATTTCACATTGAGATTTGCTTGGTGATATTTGTAGTTAGTGTTAAATGCAGATATATTTGCACAAGTAATTACCTTTACATAAGTTGCAGGACTCAACACCTTTATACCTTTTTACAGATTCAATAATCAAGTTTTTCTTGTAAAAATCAAATTAAATATGATATATAGCTCGACCTTAATCACATCATAATAAATTATGGCTAGTTAAGAGTATTTCATTGGAATTATATTATGCAAAAAAAATCATGGAGAGTTAAGTAGAAAATGTTCTTTCATAGTCATGTTGGTCTTCTGTGACCAGTATCCCACCACTGAAGAATGCCACCACTCGAAATCTGCTGAGTCTGATAAGAGTTCCCATGAATCAGTAAGCAAATTCCAAATCATCTGAGGTTCGAGATGGCGACACTGGTTTAATGAAGATCGTTTCGAGGTAAAAGGCATCAACTTTTTCATGTCAGTTCATTATATATTTGACTTATTGACCTTAACATCAAACAGTAATGGCTGTCTTATACTTTCTGATTTTATACTTTCAGGCATGTCAGCAGAAGGAATTGATTAAACCAATGTCGCCATCTTGAACCTCAGATGATTGGAATTTGCTTACTGATTCATGGGAACTCTTATCAGACTCAGCAGATTTCGAGTGTAAACAGTAATGACTGTCTTCTACTTTCTGATTTTATACTTTCAGGCATGTCAGTAGAAGGAATTGATTAGCTCAAGTCTGAACAACATCCTGCCATTAGAATGTAAAGTTGACACTGGATTAGATGTTCATGGACTCAAATCAACAAAGTTGTTTCTTATGAAGCCTTGATTTGATCGTTGATGAACTTACAGAGGAAACATATCAGAACGCAGCAGATCGCTCCACAGCTCACAAATTCCTTCCCCATGGCCACTCGAAAAGATACTGGATTCTGCTCTCCATGGAGAAATCCTGAAAACAGATGGAAGGAGATCATGGCCCCCTTGTCTGCTTGCAAAACAATTATTAGGTCATCATCTATGCCACACAGGATCCACTTAATTGATGATGATAGAACAAGTTGATGGGGGCAGGTATTGAATTCATATTTGTAATGCAGAATTCTTGTCATCCAACTAATTTACATATTCTGGAACATATATCGGATTGTGTTCGAGGAGAATGGCCTCAACAGTGAGTTAATTGCTTCATTTTGACCTTATGCCTTTGCCAAAGCAATCAACTGTAGAATTTGCAATGCAGTAGACATCTTACTCTGCATTTCCTGAAGGTTCAATCAACCAGCGGATTTGCCATCTTCCGGTGGGCATGCAGAAACACGGAGATAGAAAGGGTTCGGTCGAAGCTGATGCAGTGTGACCCACCTTCCTAAATGGTAGTCATGCTGATGTTCCTGTCTACAGAAAGAAACACAATCATACCAAATCCAAAAGAAATCTAAGCTAAACCAAATTATGACCAGCTCTACTCCAAATCAGCATGCTTTCGACATCAAAATCTAGTCCATGTTGCTCGGTTGGCCAGTATCTGATCCAGCTTCCGGATGCTTAGACCTCGAAGCCAGTGGGGACGTAGATCCAGGTGGAGCCATCGATTGTCGTTCCCGTTCGGCTTGGGCCTACAAGAACATGAAGGAATTTGATAATGGATTCTCCGGGATACTCTCAGTCTCCGAATCCAAGGCAAGACTCATAAGGTTTGCGGGCCATGTTCCAATGACAGTGACACAATCCTACTCCAAATGTAAACAGAACAAAAGGCAGCGGTTAGCATCGGTCTCCCATGTCAAGGGTCTCAATGGAGTAGTTAAGACTGGATTCTTCCCATGCCGCCCACCGGAAGATGAGAAGGAAATTGAGTGGCCTTCCCCTGGTTTTGGCATAAGAAAATGGAACACAGGAGAGCTGAATTGTTTCTAGTACAAGTCAAGGATGATTAGGTGATGTACTTGGACTGGTTTTGCTGCTATTATTCTAACATAAAGCTACTCAGGTAAATTGCCATCACATGGGCTATAGGGCGAGATGAACTTGGACTCCATTATAATGCTTGATGAGCTACTATAAGTATGGCTGGTGAATGCATCTACTACGGATGTGAAGAGTTGGGTCGAGGAAGCGTGCTTACCGAGTCGGAGGAATAACCCGAGAGGCACGAAAGCCGGCGGAAATGGAGATCCCGGTGATCAACCTTGGAGAGCTGGAGGGAGAGAAGAGAAGCAAAACCATGTCGCTCCTCCATGATGCGTGCCAGAAGTGGGGGTTCTTCTGGGTACGTTGTGAGCATCTTTATCTCTGCAAGCATTGGTATTCGTGTTTGGTTACTCTGATGAGTCCGGCATGGCAGCTCGAGAACCATGGGATTGAGGATGGAGTGATGGAGGAGGTGAAGCAGCTGGTGAAGCAGCACTACGAGGAGAGCATGAGGGAGAGCTTCTACGAGTCGGAGCTGGCACAGGGACTGCGACGTGGAACTAAAGCCTCGGATGTGGACTGGGAGACCAGCTTCTTCTACCGCCATCGCCCGGATCCCAACATCAATGATCTCCCCGAACTGGTTCGGTGAGTTCTCTTCCATGGAGTATAACCACGTAGAGCAACCCCAAGCTGACGCCGCAGCATGCTCGTGCAGTGACGCTATGAAGCAATACGTCGAACAGGTGGTGAAGCTGGCCGAGAAGCTCGCGGAGCTTCTGAGCGAGAATCTCGGGCTGGCGAATACCTACCTGAAGAACGCATTCGCCGAGCCTTTCGTGGGGACGAAGGTGGCAATGTACCCCAAATGCTCCAACCCGGAGCTCGTCATGGGGCTCCGCGGCCACACCGACGCCGGTGGGATCATCCTGCTGCTGCAGGACGACACGGTCCCCGGCCTGGAGTTCCTCAAGGACGGCGAGTGGGTGGCGGTGCCGCCGGCGCAGGGTCACCGCATCTTCGTGAACCTCGGCGATCAGGTCGAGGTCGTGAGCAATGGCGTCTACAAGAGCATCAGGCACCGGGTGCTCGCTGACGGGACCGGAAGCCGGCTGTCGATCGCCACGTTCTACAACCCGGGGGCCGACGCCATCATTTCCCCGGCGGCCGAGCTGGTGTACCCGAGTCGCTACCGCTTCCAAGACTACCTGGATTACTACACCAAGACCAAGTTCTCAGACAAAGCGTCGAGGTTTCAGAACATGAAGCAGACGCTCGTGTGAGCCACTCATGCCTGTAGTAGCTGACGGAAGAGGAATTTGTACTGGTCAATCCACGCTTGTGCTTCAATCCAAATAAACATCGATCGCCATCTCTTCTTTAGCTGCCCGGCACTGTCAGAGTCGACAGAATCATACCGACCACCGAGTATAAACATCAATGTCGTGCATCAGCCAGAAAACTGGGCATTTTTATTGTCATTAAATTTTATATAAAATAATTTTAATTAAATTAAGAAAAACATTTAAGCTATAAATATCGACAAGGATGCCATGATATAACAGTTCAAGAACTCGGACAGAATCCTACTGATGTGATGACAATTCAAGAACTATCAGATCAAGAATGGAGGACTGGTTTAGTGTCATTGTTTCATTGCTGTAAAAGAACTAAATTGCTGAAAGAGACTTAGCTTGCAGGAGATGATATATTCATCTTATGATGAAAGAGTGTCTGAAAATTACAGATTTCAAAGGTGAAGGAAGGCAGTTCCTTTATGAATCAAAATGCTTACATGCTCAGTTCCTGCAATGACAAGACCAGCCATTCCACTTTGTGGACATTATTCCCAACCCATTTCAAGATAAAAGACAAAGGTTTTCCACTATCAATTTCCTAGATTTGCACACATGAATTCAAATTACATTCAGACTCCTACATGCTGTATGATGCAAAATTCATCCAATAATTTCTTTAGTGTCGACAAAGCCATGTTGGAAATGTTGGCCTGTGTACGATTACTCGTACTTAACCAGGCAATACCAATCACCAGAAGTAACTTCTGCAACTTCGGCTTTGTCCAATTGACTTGATGCACGCCGTCATCGTGTAGACGGGCGTTGAAGAGGAAGATTAGCTTTGCTTTTTTTTCTTTTCTTTTTTTTTAACTTGATCACCATCAATGGCCAATGTTCACAGATGGCTTTCAGCAGCAAGCTTGTTCATAGTGCTGTTCTTTTTACCAAAGATATGCCTGATGGATCACCACCCCACTCTTCAAACACAACCAGAAGGTTTCCAGTTGGGTTTAGCCAGGAACGAGGAACATGGTACCTGAGATTGTAATCACTAGCCGGTCATTTAACTGTCGCAGACAAGCTACTTAATTGGGTAGAAAAGAAGAATTGATTTCTTACCATTTTTGAGAAGATTCCCCACAATTTGTTTGGCATTTTTTCTCATTGTATGTTCCACGGTAATCACAACTGGCACAAGTACCATATGCTTTGTAGGCAGGCCAGTACCGGCCAATGCTTTGTCCATTAATCCATATCTGACCTTTGCCCATGCTACTCATATCTAAAGCCAATGGCTCATTGCCGCTTGGAGCATTAAAGAAAGCCTGGAAGATCATAGGGATTAAGACAATGCTAGTCATATCGGTCCTGAACAACAAAGAAAGGAAATTTGCACTTTGCAAGAATGCCTGCATTCTGCTGTACTAACCTTGTACCAAGTCAAGGCCTGTTTCGAAGATGCACCGCCCCACTCAACTGAAGAAACACCACTAAGCATATGAAGATTCAAAGATTCACCTTTCAAGCCAACCTGCACACAAATATCAAACTTACTAATCTGCAACTTTTAGGAAGAAGCTAGGCAAATCATGCACATAGGGAAACCTGGTAAGTCCATTTCTGTGAGGTAAGGTCTCTTCTTCCTTCATTAAGGCCATGCAAGGTCACTGGACCAAGAACTCCAGCATTCCATGTCTCAAAATGACTACCAACATTCTGAAAGAAATCAGAAAAGAGGAACTAAGATAACCAGAATTTCTGCAATTTATTTTGCTGAGATAAGTGCAAAAAGATAAAATTTCATGTGCTCCCCAAAATATTGTGTATATCCCTCTGATACACATTAATATCTCAGAGAAGGATAGTTACCATGGTATGTTTTAGATGGATACATATAACATGAAAAGTTTCCAAACAAAGGTACGCACAGGTAGACCAACAGCTACACTTAAAATGGAGATTTGGTTGCTTCCTGCCCACAACTTTGCCTTTCCTTTATAAGTCAGTTTTGGATTGTCTAAACCACCATAAACAGTCCCTGCCGGAAAAAGGAAGTTAAATGTGTAGATTGGAGCCGATCAAATATCGGGCATATTTTCAAATATAGCTCTGCATAAGCCAAAGTAACTTACCAGCTCGCTTTCCGTTGATGAAAATATGCATAGAATGACCTGCCGACATTACAGTCAGAACAGGGTGTGGACCATTCTTTAGAAATGGTTCATTTGGCCCTATATCAACACTGAAAAGGGAGCACAGTAAGATATTAATTTATAGACATTGGTTTTGTTTTGACCAAAGAGAAGCTGCAAATTAATGTTGTAAATATGTAATAATAACTTTGCTACTCACGATGTAGTGTACCACAAGTAGTCTGTCTGGTCCCTTGTCATGCTTATCTGCTCCACTAGCCCATCTTTCATGAATGAGTTATCATCCAGTGTGTTGGTCTCTTCGCTGAAGGACTTCCAAGAAAACCTACCAAGCAATGTCATTTTTATCTGCAATGTTGGAGCTTCAACCTGGATCATGATTAATATGAATGCGCTTGAGACTCTTGAATGGGAGACCCTTTTATCCAACAAGAAACCAAGGACTCTTTCCACCGAGACTATAGATGATACAATAAAGTTTTAGGAACCACAGAACAATGTAGTGGAGTATATAATCTTTTCAAGCCATGAAACAAATAACTCAAAATGAAGAGTTGACTTGTGGGAGTAGAATGCAAATGCAACCATGAACAAAAATAATTATCAGAAATTTCTCACCCTTGCAGTGTTGAATACTGTGGTTTTGCAGTCAGGAAGGATACTGATGGACCAAGGTGGAATATCATATTTCATTCTGTTGAAAGTAACTGTTGCATATGATCTTGGGTTGTAATTAGAAAGGAATGCAGCACAAGAGCCCGACTTTGATCTGAAGACATGCGCCTGGAAGGAATTGACTATAGATTTAGTTCCAAATCCAGACCATTGGAATATGTTTGCTAATTGTACATCTACACATAAAAGATGAACCTGCTCATAATTTCCAAGTTTTGTCACAGTGGGATCTGCTGACACAAGAGCGGGTTCACACATTTTGATCGCCTTATGCAGGTCTCTCAGATGGCCCCATTTTGGCTGCCTCAAGAGACCTGAGAAAGAGTAAAAAATGGTAAATACTAGACAAAGGGAATTAAAATTTTACATAAAATTGAGTCTCACAACAGAATTGGTTGCAACACCAGTCCTTCAAGGACTCCAAAGAATGAGAGTGACAGATTTGGAAACATGCTGTATTTCATCATATCAATGGGAAGTTTATAACATTTTAAGTGTTTGAGCAATGAGAGAAGTATACAATAGTATCCTTGCAGCAGAACAACAGATTTTTCAGATGAAGAATGGCTCATAGGAGAAGCAAACCAACTGGCAGTCAAATCACATTATTTTGTCATTCATCACCTAGAGGTGGTTTAACCCCTGTTAGAAAAATGTTTTGAATTCAAAACATTGCTAGGTGAGCAATCATACCATTTTTAGAATCATGCATTTCTTTTCAAAAGCAGGATGACAATACAAAGTTATCTCGATGAAATTGTCAAATGCATGTTACAAGTACTTCAGATGCAGAAAAAAAGAAGGTAGATGATCGAGTCACTCTAATACTGGCACGTAATGTGGTCACCATTTTGACTAAAACCATATCTTTATGAAAATTGCTACATATCATTTCCAAAGAATCACAAAAGAGAAGCTACCATACCATATTCATCAACTGGGGCATCATAGTCATAGCTTGTTGAAATGAAGGGGCCACCAGCTGTCCTACCAAAGTTTGTTCCTCCATGATACTGGAAATGACAGAAATGTGCAAATTACTTTTCTTAGATGATGTGTATAAATAAATGATTACTGGGAACTGAAAAACGAATGTTCGACGTCTTACCATATAATAGTTAACAAAGGAGCCACCTTTCTGTATAAACCGTGCAACAGCAAAAGTCAAGTCCTCAACAGGCCGGTGAGGAACCGGACTCCCAAATGCAGTGAACCTGTTAGCAATGAATACATTGAATAAATGCACTAAATAACAAGAAGGTATCAGTTTGCCATTTCTTTTTCTGAAATGCAAATGAGTTCAATTTCAGTGTGATGTTGGGCTGAACTAAAGTTCAAGAACAAAGAAAGTTACCAGCCAGTCCAAGCTTCTGTCCACATGGTAGGTTTATAGGGCTTGTTTGGTGAGAAATAATCACAGTAGAATCCATTACAGGTGTTTATCTGTAAATATAAAATTCAAGAATAAAATGTTAGAAAGTTGTGTAAAACTATAAATTCTTCGCTAGGATATAAGCTTGAGCGTCGACAAATTTAGTTGGAGTAATTGGAAACTAGGTGCCATTTTTGTTTCGGTTGGTATATAAATCCAAGAACTTGATGTTGAAAAGGAAAAGCTGGAGGAGGAAAATGAAAAGAGTCTTCTGCGCGATGTGATAAATCAACAGAAAAAAAAAAAGGCAAGTGATGCATACAGCTCGATGCACAATAAGCAAAATATTTGATGCAGTGAAAATTCAAGACAGTAAAAAGGTCTCTTTTTGAACTTACAATTGGATCGGGTGCATCATCTTGTTTGCACATGACCCATGGCACACCAGTCTTGAGGCCAACTGCCATTTGAGCAGCCCAACTTGCATAATTCTTGGCTGCGGCACCACCATAATACTCCTCCAGTGGACCATATTCATTTTCAATCTGCTCAAATTTGGCAAAACACATGGAAGAACAGGAAACTGAATCAGAAGAGAACTAAGATCATTATGTTGATCTCTCCTGTTAGTCTCGCTATATTGGCTAATAAACCGATGCAGTAGAATGGAAAATGATTCAGTAATACCTGAGAGAGGATGATGGGGCCACCCTGAGATTCAAATAGTCCTTGAGACTTCATCATGGAGACAATCTTCTCTGTGAATTTTGCCATTGCTGCCTTTTATATGAACAAAACTAATCAGCGATCAAGCAAAAATGGACTAAGATAAAGTATATTTTGTGAAAATTGTACCTTGAAAGGACCATTATCAGTCCTGAAACT